TAACCTGTATTCACCTGAGTCATGTCTATTAATCAGACAGAAATTGAACCACATCAGCGACACAAGAGCTGTACTGTCTTCGCTGAGTTTATGCAAATTAGCGATGTGGTTTTAAGTTTAGTTTTTGTGAGAGTTGCGCAAAACTGAATTAAACTGAATTAAACACATTATAATGTCAAACGGTCTGATGTGGCTCTAGAGTGGTTACAGTTTATATGTCGTAAAGTTGAATTTATTTATGCAGATTAGTAGTGCAATAGTAATAATAATGATGATCATTTTAATATAAAAACGTTAATGATTAATCGATAATCGATCGTTAATTCTTCCGACGATCAATTAAGAAAATTTCATCGAATGCCCATCCCTAGTTTAAACTATATTCAATTGTAGAATCTCTTATCAGGAAGTAATAAACATACGAGGAATGAACCCGTATGAAGGTTTTCTCTTTAAATGGCCCATATTAAGCTATTATCTGATGATGCAGCAGACGTTATAATGTGGGTTCCTCATCACAAACAAACTGGAGTGGTGTTTTGTTTCATTAACACCTAAAGCCTGCCTATTTAGGCTGAGTACTACAGGAAGTGCTCCACTCTGCTGTAAACTCCATACACCTTTACTAGAATCATTTATATAATTTCATTCAAATAATTTTATCTGAACTGCCAAACCAAAAGCAAAAGCTGTTAACTGGAAAACTACCACTTCATGACTTCAGAAGTTGGAACAAAGCAGTCTGAACTTAGCATGTGTGAACGAAACGAAACACAAGTCCAGGTATGTTTTTTGAGGTATCAACATTCTAACATGACTAAAAGCTCACAAGAGTCAAATTAGTGTAATACAGGACAATGAGTGATGTACATATTGCGGGCCAAGTTCAGAAGGAGATCTCTGTATTATTTACATGCCTTTTGACCATTTATTTATTTTTGAAAATTCCCCAAATATCCCCTGGGAAATTTTGGACATTTACCAGGAATTTTCCACCCCTTTGCAAATCTAATCAAGACCATTCTGCACTCTTCAGGAAATTCTCTGTCCTGTTCATGTAGCCTATTCTTTTCATTAAGGGACTGGGATGTATGGAGATTTGCATGTTGAGCTCAAGAGTGTACATGATAGAAAAGTAGTCTGAAAAAGCACTATTTTTTAAAGGTCCGTCCTTTATAACAGAAAATTGACTCTTGTGAGCTTTAAGCCACGTTACAATGCTGATACATCCTCAAAAACACACCTGGAGCTGTGTTTTGCTTCATTCACACCTGAGTAACCCTTCATTATTAGTCTGTCTCCAAAGCTCAAAATGCTCTGTTCCTCCTTGTGATGTCACGAAGTGGTAGATTTCAAGTTAACAGCCCTTTTACTTTAGTTCAGTAGAGATTGGCAATTCCTGGGCTGAAATTATTCAAATGATTCTAATGAAGGTGGGGTTTAAAAACACGATGGAGAACTTTCAGTATTTCCACAGCACATCACAAGGGGAAACTGAGTGTCTTCTTACCCAAGTAAATGTAATTAAGTAAATATATTTACCCCCTCTGTCCCTACAGTGAACAAACTAAGCACAACATGAGCAAGGACAAAATGTGAACTCAGTCTAGAACACAAGCAGACTAAAGCAGGACTAAAGCCAGGAAACACCAGGTCAAAATGAGACTAAAAAGCTACAGTTCCAATATTCTTCTCTTTATCCAGCCACAGCACAACATATGTTTAACCTGCCTGTATCTGAGTGAGCACATCTTTTTGTGCATGTGAAAGATTGACAGTTGTAAAGAATAAGCACAAACCGGCTGCTGACAACACTGCCCTTTGAATATGGAGGAAGTCAGGAAGTGATGAGAAACAGTTTCTGATACTGCTTTGTCAAGTTATTTCTAGTTATGACGTTTATGACGTTTGATAGGATCTGTGCAAAATATTTAGCAAACTTTTTAAAATCAGATAAGAGACAGGTAAGAGTCAGTTTGTTTGAAAACTGACTACAAGAATTAGGCTAGTGATGAGTTCTGAAACAGAATCCCTCTGCCTAGACCAGGGGTGCTCACACTTTTTCAGCATGTGAGCTACTTAAAAAATGACCAAGTCAAAATGATCTACCTAATACAAAGTCAAGCAAACTGCACTGAAACACTCTGTGCCCCTTTTTTGGACCCTCCCCCACAGTTTGAGAACCTCTTCTTTAAGAGAACTTCCTCTGGCACTTTACACAAAACTGTGAAAAAAGTGAAGGAAGATTTTTAAACCTGTTTTTTAAAGTTCCAAACTGGAGTTACATTCTTTTCTGGTTTTGCAGTGATATTTACCAGCCTCTGCACATTTACCAAACCAAACGTACATCGTGACAAACACAGATGCATTTGTGCACTTTTGTTAGACAAACTTCAGCCAAATGTGGCAGTAGGTCTGTTCTGTAGATCCGCTCTATGCTGTAGACCTGCTTTGTGTCAACACTGGAACACAAATTTAGACTGTGGGAGGGGCTTGTGTTCACTGTACGCAGGAAGGAGCGAGAGCGCGAAAAGGCGAGGGGCGGTGTGCTGACGTGAGGCAGATGGACAGGTAGGATGTTTAGGAAGTTGAACCTGCCCTGTGATGCACGCTGGTACACGAGGGCACACGCTGTCACAGACGAGCCGTGCATAGGGAGCGTGTGTGTTTGTGATGTGCCGTAGTCTCCGTGGGTTTCAAATGAGCGCACAGGCTGCACTGAGACGCTTAGTGATGAGAGACAAGACCGAGTCCAAACACGAGTCCGAGACGAGACACGATCTACCCACACGACCTTGGTGATCGACTGGTAGATCGCGATCGACGTATTGAGCACCCATGGTCTAGGGATTCCATCCAAAATGTTTAAAAACATGTTCTTTTCCGTCACCAAGTGACTCTGAAGTTATATTTGGACACTCAAAGACACTTTACAGTAACACTTCACACATTACATTATTTATTCACTCCACACTTAGTGATGGTAAGCTATTATTGTAGTCACAGCTGCCCTGGGCAGACTGATGGAAGTCAATCTGCACCACCGGCCCCTCCAACCAACACTCACACACATAACAATTTCATAAGCAATGTGGGTGTCTTACCTATGGATACAACAACAGGACGACACCTGGTCTTCCCAGCAGTCTCTCGTCTAAGTTCTAACCAGGAACCAGGCTTTGACAAGCCAGTATGGCCGGTATACCTGGTATACCATTCCTATGGAGCTCCAGTGCAGATCAATAGGAGGCTGACTGTCTACTGTGATGACATTCATGGCGACGTCAGCTCCCATTGGGCACTTAAGTTTTCTAACATGAAAATTTGCTGACTTGTTTCTTTTATTATGTCGTTTTAGATAAATATATTATAACTAGGGTGGGACTTGATTAAAAAAAAAGAGTCAGATTAATTACAGGCTTTGCAATTAATTAATCTCAATTCATAATGTAACAATATTTGCCCCAAAAGCAACATTTATTTTATGTACTGTAAATGAATTTTAGTGCACTCATTTTCTTCCTGAAGCCATCATTTGTTGGAGTTTGGGCTGCTGACACCTCTTGTTTGTACTCGGAGCAGAAGTGCTCGTGCTAACACTCCAGCAGGTTCTGTGCTCGCTGTCACATGTTTTGTATTTATGGAATCGTAGGGTGGTGCTTCTGTGATATGCAAAGTTTTTTTTCTGCACAGTTTGCAATAGCCAGCGATTGTTGTAGTGGAAACTGTGTGATGTACCACAACATAGTGCACTGACAAACTCAGTGATAAAATGCATGAATATTTTTAATGCATTTTTTTTTTTTTTTTTTATTAATTGTAATTAACTCGTTAATATCCACCACTAATTATAACATAATGATCCACGGGAGTTGGAGATAATTATACAGCAAACACAAGCACAACATGTTGGCTTTAACGAAGCTCAAAGGAGTGGTCAAATCATTCAACTGCTGTGTAAAGTAGAGTAAAGTCCCTTGCTAACAGTCTTGTTGTTAGGTTATTTACAGAATGACCTCATATCAGACCAGGAAGTCAAATGATAACATTCACCAGAATTATAAATTAGAAAACCTAGGCAGGATTCTGTGTACATTTTAAATATAAAGATGAGTAATCTAACCTGTCACATGCACTTTAAAATAATGACTATATTTGTTCTCTCAGTAAAAAAGAAAAAGTCCAGGATGTGGCAAAAGTGACTGGATCAGAGCTAAGTCCTGATAAGACAGACCTGCAGAGCCTAATGCAAACTAATAAGGGGCTTGTCGAAGCCCCTCAGAGTGCTACAGGAGAGTCATTATCCATTCCCTCCATACCTGGTGATGATAAGCTACTGGCTATTGTAGCCACAGCTGCCCTGGGGCAAACTGACGGAAGTGAAGCACCACACTTTCGCGTTGGGAGACCACTGCTGAGACCACTGCTCTAACCACTGAGCCACTGTCACCCCACAGCCTCCACAGTCAGGACCTACACCCGACCTCCACAGTCAGGACCTACACCCGACCTCCACAGTCAGGACCTACACAGTCACTGGAGCAATGACAGACAGGCTGCGTCCGTACCCTCACTAGGACATGGCTACAATCCGAAATCAGCGCTCCGCTTTTAGCATCGGGCTTTAATAACGCGGTTATAACACGGAGCACGGTAATGTGACCTTTACACGCAGTGAGAGCGCTTCGGGAGCCGCCTGACCCGAGCTGACCCGTTAGGCTGCACTTGTTATGAGGCGCTCTGCAGCACAGAGCAGCGGGGCACCGCGCTCTCTACAGCCGCCAAACAAACTGCCAAAGGCGAGGGCCTTCCGTTAAACACACGCTCATGTCAACACAAACGCATCGTGACGGGTCGCGGGCTGCGGCGTAGACGCGGCCGCTCCGCAGTACACCCACACCGCTGCACAAAGGCCTGGTATTGATCCCGCTATGGTTGACAGGCCGGACCCCCTCCTCCCGGCCCTCCCCGGCCCCACACAGCAGTGTCCCGTGTCTTACCCATTGGAGCCCGCGGTGCTACAGCTTCATGTTGAGTCTACGGCATCGCGCTGCTGCTGGAGACGGCCGCAGAGAAGTGCCCGCGGCGTTGATGCTGAGGTGCGCGGGAGCGGAGCGGCGGAGGCTCGGATTAGCGTTTATCCTCGAGACGAACGAGCATCGCTGCGTCGAGAGCAGAGCCGAGGATGGAGGAGCGGCTCTGGTGATGCCTTCGTCCGTCCGCTCGCTCTGGTCTGTTTACAAGCCCTCAGAGCCACCTCCCTGGTCCAGACGCGAACGCTTCTCTTCCGCAGCTGCGCTGACGCTCTTCCGCTCGAACGTTCCGAATTGAGAGCCTCACTTTTTTGAGCTTCTATTTCCACATCCTCCGACACGGCCTGCCGCGGACCCACGGAGATGTGTGCCCGGAGAAGGTGAAAGGAAACGCGGGGAGCCAGAGGCGGAGCTCCGGAGCGACCCTCCCCCTGGAAGCGCTGCTGCAGATGGACTGGCACAGCAACTGGCAACACGCAGCTCCGAGACGCGCCGTCAGAGGGCGCCAAACACATGACCACTCACTGGGCATGACCGGTCCTCTGTGTGCGAACAAAACTCAAGGAACAGAGCAGAGGAGAGGATAGCAGAGCAGAGGATAGCAGAGGAAAGGAGAGGAGAGCAGAGCAGATGAATGGAGAGAAGAGAAGAGCAGAGGAGAAGAGAGGAGAGCAGAGGAAAGGAGAGGAGAGCAGAGGAGAAGAGAGGAGAGGAGAAGAGAGGAGATGAGAAGAGAGGAGATGAGGAGAGGACTGGAGAGCAGAGCAGAGGAGCTGAGCTTGAAGACAACCTGATGACCTGAAGTCTTTAGGATCAGTGTTAGAATTAGGATAAATAACTCGGCATAGTTGTTTTGCATAACCACTGCAATAGTTCATTATTGTACTGAGGTCATGTGAAGATCAGGCTCTGATGCTCAGGCTTTTTAGCAAACTAACTAAATAGGACATGAACTACTGATAGGGATGATGTCATGACTTGTTACCCAGATAAAACAAGATGACATAAGATGGAGTCTGAGTCTAAGATGGAGTCTGATAGAGGCCTGGATCACCTGTGTGCCAATGGCGAGGCGCCAAGTCTAAACCATGGTATTCTCCTACTACAGTTTGTGTATAAAAGTCATTGTATAGGCATGAACATGGAGTCTCTGTGTGGGAATGTCGGCACAGACTCCTTGTACAAGTATTGCTTTCTAATATTTGAGTAAGTAAATTAGCTGGATTTTATATCTGTTTCAAGTGTAATCTTTATCTAAGCAGAAATTCACTAGCTCTGACCACGTCAACAACGAGCAGAGATGGCTGGTTGAGACTATAGGTCGGGGCTCCATCTCAATCTTCAGTTGGCCCAGACGGGACGGGACCCTCCTCATAGGGGTCTTATGACTGAAAGACGAAAAATAGGGGATAGGAGGGTGGGGTGGAGTTCACCGAGACAAACTGGGATGATGGGAAAGGCTGCTACATATAGACTTCTGGGAGGTGTGGTGGAGGTGAGTTGTGGTTCTCTGGTGAGAGGAGAGGGCGGCTGAGGCGTGCTCCTGCTCCTGAATCTCACTTCATCATATTAACTACATCTCCTGAAGATGGGAGGAAAAGGCTGTTTTCCTCAACAGTACCTACCACCAGAAAATGTCTGGCCCTCTTAGTATCAGCAGGTCTAAACCAGGCCCAACCCAAAAAACTCAACTGTGGATCAAATGAACTCTGAGACTGTACTATTAGTTTTTTTTTTTCTTTCTAGCAAGATACTTTTACACCTATTGTTATAATATTTTTTATTTTTATTTAACAGTACTCCTACTTAAGTAAAAGTTGTGGTTCCTCGTTCCACTGTAAGTCTAAGTGACAAAATCTTCATGTGACAATCTGAAATTATTGCCACTTTTGTATTTCTTGCAGTACTCCTTCAGATGATTGAGTTTGTCTCATATTTGTGTCCTTCAAATACTGCACAAAATGTGGTATTTTCAAAGTTTTGTCAGTCCAGTTACAACATTTACTCTTTAAGTTACTTTTACTTGAGTAGTAGTTGTCCCATATACTTTTTAGTCTTACTTGAGTCTTTTCTTAGACCACTATTTTGTACTTCTAATTGAGTACTAATATTATTCTGAAATAACACTACTACTACTACTACTACTACTACTACTACTACTACTCTGCTGACCTTATAGTGATGCTTTAGTGCTAACATGTGACCAGGTCAAAGGTCACTGGTTACACTTCCTTATAATAGACTCTTGCTGTTTATTCCTGTGCAGCGAAGCAAAGCACTCTCCTGCTGTAGGCGAGCTTAGACCCCATCATCAAATATAAATGACTGAAACAGAATCCTCTTTAGAGGCAGGCCACACGGTGCTCAGCGGTGAGCTCTCTCCACTCACAGCAAGAACACTCCAGGTTCTACTTTCTGTGGAGTTTGTGTGTTCTCCCTGTGTCTGGGTCAACTTTATTTATAAGCACATTTAAAACGAACAGAGCCCCAGTTCCTCCACCAACCCCAAACAGCACAACAACAAACAACAAAACCTCCAGCTAAGGCAGTCCTGAGCAAGACTTGTGGGTCCTCGGGCGCTCCTGACACGCCCTCTCACCTATAACCTTGTCCTAACTTTTTTCATTAGGTCATATACTGCTGCTCATACAGTGACTCGTGAATAATCCTGGACATTCATAACAGGATCAACTGAGTCACCAGACCTGATGCTGCGACCCTCAATAAGACACACTGATCTTTCATATTAGCCAATGGCTTTATCAACCTGGACTTTCAAAAACTTACAGTAAAAAGTGCTGCTTAAGGTAATATGGGCCAGTTCACCTGGAAGCTTGAGGGCCAAAAAGTACTGGTCTGAGGGCCTCTTTTGGCCCGTGTATCTGATAACTGATATTAGATAGAGGTGCAAGAAAAAAACTGATTCAGTGCTGTATCTACATTGCACAATTCTTGAATCAATTCAAAATGTGTCTGAATCAATTTTTTAAAATCATAATTTTCTCAAAAAATCCAAAGCTACATTTACTGTTCTCAAGATTTGCTTGTGAAGGTGTACATCACTATATTATTAGAAGTAATTGTTGATAAATCACAATATATTGCCCTTTCTTTTAGTACTGGGATATATCAGGATATATATCGTATCGTGACCTGCACTGAGTGATACGTATCATATCAAGAAACACATGGCAATGCACACCTGTGTTAACTGATACCATTTTAAGGTTGTATTTTTACAATATTGATCCAATTGTGTTATGTAGTTATTTATCCTGTCAGTAACAACTAAACAGCTATATGAGTAATTACTGAAACATATGAGATGTCAGTCAGTAGTCTTATGACATTCAATTAAAAGCTAAGCTGAACCGATATCATGGAACCTCGGGGTCAGTACCAGCATTGGAATGGTACCACTGGACTGGTCATTTGTGAAAATAGCATAGATTTTGTGTGCACTATCACAGCTCTTTCAGACAGAGGAGTAAGGCATGGCAGCACATCCTTTGCACAGCCAATCAGTTCTCATCTCAACGTCAAATTAGATGAGTGTGTGTTGTGGTTCATTTTTGGTTTGGTTGGTTTTGCTCAATAGGAGTAGAAGTAATTTAATCATTTAAACTCGTAGTTTAATAATTTAAGTAATGTAATCATTAAAAGTAGGGTTAATTTTCAAGTATAGAAATGTCAGTTTATCCATTGAAATGTAGTTTTCTTCAAAAATAGGCATTGGTTTAAATGAATGGAATAGATCTGGCACAAAATGAAATCTCATAATTAACCTTTCTGTATTTGTCCAGTAAAACCTTAAAAGCAGTACTTTAGTTCAATGATATGTAAGCACTGATTACGTAAAACATTGTTTTACATTGTTAACTAGACCTGGTATTAGCTACTTAGTAATTATACTTACATCAAACCATCATTACTTTTTATATTTTTTGAAACACTGAACATTCTGTGTCTGAGTTATATTTGCCAGTATGTGGAGTTACAAAGAGTTGAAGAAATAAAACTGAAACTGTAATACAAGGGTGATTGGGGGAAGAAGAAGAAGAAGAAGAAAAAAAAGAGTTTTTAAATGTATATATTTGTGTCTTTAACATTTAGTAGAAAAACATTTGGAAACATTTTAGAACTAGATTTGAGCCATTAAAAGGTGTCTCAAGTAGGACTAGTAGGACACATTTGAGCAGCAAAATTTTCCTCAGGGTATGGTTGAGAGAGAGAAACTTTATTGCTTCTACTGATCCTAAGGGAAATTCAAGTTTTGCTGGAGCTTTGGTCTTTGGAGAAAGGATCCTGGGAATTGAGAAACACTCATTTGAGATGCTACAGGCTTTTTACACCATGTGTGGGAGCAAATGTGTCAGAAGACCTTCCAGAGGAAACACTTTGAGGGAATGGACCATTTCATCACCAACTGAAACACTAGAGCGGAGTAAGAACAAGTGTCTTCCTGTTGTGTTTATCTGGTCCCTTCTGAACACTGCTGTGATGCTGCAGGACACAGAGGAGGGAGGGACACTTTTGGCTCTTCCACAGGATCTGCTGACCCTCCCTGACCAGTCCTCCTAAACTGCACTGACACCTTTAACTAAGACACAAACATCAACATCAGCTGCAACATTTTTCTGTCGCAAAACTTGAATTTTCCCACAGGATCAATAAATCTCTTGCTCTTATTGTATTTTACTGCTCATTGTGTTTAAATTACCCCTCAGGGACAAATAAAGTGATTTTGATTTGATTATTTATGCAGATATTTTTATTAAATAATCTGCTGCAGTCAATCTGTGCAGTGGATTGTGGGATGCCTCATAGTTCCTTAAAACTGGTTAGGAACCACCTGAGGTTTCTATGCTATGAAATGAAGCATAATCTCTCCTTTCCTTACTTCTTCCTAACTTCACAGCTTCAGATGTAGCCTCTCTCTGATCTGAATGGTCATTGCCTAAAGCCCAGCACCTGCAGCCTGTCATCAGAGAGTGAATTCTGGAGGTTCTGAGTTTCACGTGAGGCATGGCCCTGTATATGTCCTGCAGGTTGAGGCACTGGCAACTCGGGTTCAAATGTGGTTAAATAACAAAAACTAAAAGAAAAACAAAAAACAATAGGGGTGCAGGCTACATATAGTTTGTATAATTGCAGTTTTATTTTAGTCCTTGTTTAACATTGGGGCCTGGTTTAGCCATGACTCAGTCCTGGTCAGAGCCTGGAATAAGCTCTGTAAATAAAAGCGCACCTGGATAAAAAGTATGAACCCAAGTCATTCCCCTCATGTACATTTGTTTTGTTGGAGTCTTGGCCCTGAGCTACTGTGGCCCCAGCCCGCCCGGGGCAGAGGCCAGCTCAGAGGGCAGGTCCCCGTGCTCATTGCCCCACAGGCGGTAAAAGTGGCTGAAGTCCACGTAAGGAGGCACACGGCCCGTCTCGTCGGGCTGGGCCGCCTGGCTGCCCCTCTGTCGAAACAGGCTGCCATCGCCTGAGCTGGAGCTGGAGCTCTGGGTGTGGGTGTTGGTCGACTGCAGCGTGGTGGTGGGGCTCTGGCTGCTGCAGCACACATCAGAACACACAGGCAGTCAGTCAGTGGTGGAACAGAACAAAGTGAACATAGAAAAGTACTGTACCCATATATTTTCTGATGTATGTTATAATGTTGTTTCCTCATCGCAAACAGACCTGGAGTTGTGTTTTGTTTCATGTTTAACACACAAATCCTGCAATTATGCCTCTTCTCTCAGACAGAGAACACCTTGTGATATCATGAGGGCAGACACAAAGTGCTCCACTCTGGTTTTAAACTCCATATACTTTCACTAGAATCATTTGGATGATTTCAGCCCTGGAATTTCCAATCTGTACTAAACAAAAAGTTAAAGATGGCTGTTAATGTGGTAGAACAGTGCATTTTGAGATTTGGGGATGAAGACTAATAATAAAGGGTTACTCAAACGTGTGATTGAAACACAACATAACTCCCGGTATGTAACAGCATGGCTTAAAGCTCTTAAGAGTTCATTTGAAATAATATAGGACCTTTAAGTACAAATCTGAGCTATCTGTACTTTACATTACATACAGTGTAGTACATTTAAGTACATTTAACATTGCATACTTTTTACTTCATTACATCTGAGAGCAGGCATCTACTCTTTCTGCTCTCTAAATATGAACAGGTCATGATTGAAGAAAAGCACTGCTTACTGTAGTGTTGTCATGATACTGGAATTTCATTTCAAACTCAGTTATGATATTATGGGTCGGTACCCGATTTTCCCATGTATTTGTGCAAAATGTACAGATATATTGTATAAGGAGCAGTTGAGGTCAAAAGAAGTCCGTGTTCTAATTAGAAAGTGTTTTATTGTCCCACAATCAGGAAGTACACTCTTGCTGAGAAGTATAACTTGCTAATTATTAGCTTTACCATCACAGCAAAACTCCACTTTAACTTCTAAAATATGTCAAAGTCACTTATACACTCATTGAGGTGAATAATTAATTACTTACTTATAATGTAAGTAGGAAATAACTTTGTGCAACTACTAACTGTTTATAATGAGTTGTTTTTTACATTTTGAAGAGTAAAAATCTGGTACAGCTCATCTGAAACTTTTCTGGTGGCAGGCCTGTACCTGCTCGTCTCCATGGAGTTATTCTTGCTTTACCTGGAATGTTTCACAGTATGGCATCAAACTCATCTATCTTCAAGCACACAAGCAGACAACCACACCAGGCCAAGTTACAGGTCATATCTGTGGAGGGCTATAAAGACTATAAATGTGCCTGTATGACTGCTCCACTGTGTTTTTAAACTCCATACTGCTTCACAAAAATCATTTGGATGATTTCAGCCCTGGAATTGCCAATCTCCACTGGCCCAAAGGTAAAAGATAACTATTAACTTGAAAACTACTGCTTCATGAAGTCACAAGGCAGAATAGAGCATTTTAAGCTCAGAAATATGGACAACCTAATGAAACAACCTTACTCAAACATGAATGAAATGAAATGAATGAAACAAAACAATTTCATGTATGTTATTGAGGAGGTAACAACATTCTAACAGGACTTAAAGCTCACAAGAGTCAATTTAGCATAACATTGTATGTTTAGGGATTAAGGTGACTGCGTTGTGTTTTGCCGTCTGTCTCTCATTATTCACTCTTCCTGCTGTGTCCTGTGTCCTGTGTGTTTGACCGTCTCTTAGTGTAACTTCACATGGTACTGATTAAAAAATGGGGAAGAAACAAAGCAAAGGATGACTATTTTGAGGAATCTGAATGTGGTGATACCTCTGCCACCACTCCCACTCCACAGTGTTAGTATTATTTCATTTCCTTTACATTAAGTTAATTACAACACACAGTTTAATTTAATTCCTTTATTTAGACTGATATTCTAAGTTGGGTGCACACATTGTAGTTAATGTAAGTCTGAATTCTCATTTACACTTGTTCTTTTTTGTTGTTTGAGTGGCCAGACGGAGGAGCCTTGGCAGAAACCATCCACGCTGAACAAAGGGGGTGCACTATTTAGTTAGTTTTACTAAGTTAGTTGTCTAGTTTGTTTAAGGTTACTTTATTATAACTTATTATTTTCTTTATTATACTTATTTGCCTTCTTGTTACTTTGATTAAGTTAGTAGTTTTAGTTAATTATTTAGTGTTCAATTTTAGTTGACCCTCATGTTTTAAAACAACCCTGTTATTTGGCTGGTTAAATAAATGTTCAGAATGTTCAGACTTACTCATGCAAACCTGATCAGTGGTTACACTTTACACTATAACACTACTGGACGTAATAAATGAATTATTATTAATAAATTATTATCAGGTATCAGGAGATAAAGTTTAAGTACCTATATTGGCATCTGCACTGAAAACAAATGGATAGATCCATCCCTAGTTAAAACAAAGCTCAGATTAAAGCATAACTTGGGAAACAGAGCTTCAGACAGAGCAGTGCCTATAGTTAACATCACCCCCCAGCTGTAGTAGTCATACACACCACCCTGTCGAAAGAAAAACATACAACATGTCATGAACTTTACTAGAATTTTAAATCTATCTCTGGGGCCTTGCTATGTGTTTGAAAATATAAACATGGAGCACAACTGTCTGACATATATTTGATCAGTATTGTGTGAGAAAAATCACACTGGTACATATGTTGTCTGAAGGTAGCATGGGTTAGTTTAAGGTCGGGAACAGAGCCACGCCTAATGCAAGCTGTGTCCTGTCTCTGTTCTATTCATTACCACCACAGACTCCCGTCCTCTGCTCTATTTCTCTTTCCTTCCATCTCTCAGGTATGAGAGGTTACAAAGCCTGGGAGCTCACCAGCCCCAAATTCTTCTCTCACCATTACTCAGAGAGGAGGTATTTTATTTCTATGGGATATTAACTGCTAACATATAACATATTTATTTCACCATGTTACAACAACAACAGATTCACATTTGTTTTTAATGCTCTTTGGCATGTTTTTGTCACTCCCCTTTCAGATTGTTAACACAACACAATCAGAGGGTATTCTGTTACTGAAACCACTGCACATCACATCAGGTTTGTCAAGTTGCTGTGTACAGTTTTGTATCATGTTTTTGTATGTTTCGTGTGGGAGCATGGGTGACGTAGGCTTGTGGGTGGAGCACTGCACAGAATATTTCAGCCAACGGTAAGGGCAGTTTGGATAGAGCCGGGAGAGAGCGCTAAACTACTCAAACTTCCATGGACGACATCTAAAACCTCTTCAGGCTCATGGGGGAACAATTTTGTAGTACTGTTTACTTTCTGGTCAAAAAGTGAGTGTGTGCTGCCCCCAATGGCCAATGCACTTTTGAGTACTATGCGACATTACACAGGACTGCCTTGATTCCAGTGAGGTGTTTCTGGTACAAACTGGCTGCAGGGGCGGAGTTTGAAGTGTGGCTACATGTTAGAGTAATCACACTGTTTCTCACTCTTCCCTGTAGGATGTAACCATGTATTGTAATGAGCAAACCCAGCTCATACCTAATGTAGCAGGTGGCCAGTGACCCTATGCCACTGGCCACCTGCTACTGATTTAAAGTTGTTCTGACGCGCTTGTAATATAAATCCACAGATAAATTCTTAGTCCTTTATTGGCTTACCAATGCCATCCACATATTCCACAATACAAACAATGTGGTCAAAAACGCTTTGCCTCCAATCAGCCGCACCTTTGGCTGCCTTCTTGGCCCTTAAATATGTTAAGGAGGGCACCACACTGCCACACAGTGGATGGAGGACAAAGCAACAAGTAAGGAACAAAAAAAAGTTCAAAATGGCTCCTACACCTACGAAACCATGATCGTACCAAGGAAAGCACGCAATGTTCCTGGGAATTTTCTGGCCAGTAACACTACTTGGGCAAGTTAGACTACTCATTCCTCTGAAACATAGTTATCATAAGATTTAAGATGACACTAAAACCATAACCTAGCAACCATAATGTTAACAAGGATCGAACATACATAGTAATAATAATAGTTATGATTAGACTAATAAAAATAGATGATAACACCTTCATTCACCTGGCTCCCCCTAGAGTCTAGGGGTCTCCAACATGTAGCTCGGGAGCTAGCGGTAGCTCTCCACTCCCTTCCAAGTAGCTTGGCAAAGGGATTTCTCAACCATATGTGCTAAATAAGTCAAATTTGACTAATTAAATGCCTATTACCATTGTACATGTGTCATTTTGATGCCTAACTTTGTACACTAATAAATTAATAATGGTTTATGCATCTTACTGCACCTCATCTAAGACTCGAGATGGCTCTAATATATGCTCAGTTTCTTGTGACGGCTAAAACTAGTAGCTCTATGGAATTTTCGTTTTGTAAAAGTAGCTCACTGGAGGAAAGAGGTTGGAGACTCGTGCCCTAGACACTGCTGTGATGTTGCAGGACACAGAGCAGGGATTTCTCTTCCTCTCCTCAAACTGCCCTAAAATATCTTCCTTGTGCATAAATTGTCTCTGAGTTTTGACTTCTGGCTGGTAAATTTTTGGGACAGAGTGCATGTGCGAATGGGGCTACTCTCTTGTCTGATCATGTCTTCATTCATAAGTCATATTTACACAATATTCTCCAGCTGTGGCCCGTGCTAGAGAGCCATCTCATATACAAGCAGGTCACATAACACTTTGTGCATTCTGAATCTCCAGCCGCTGACTCTGCAGACCGTCACCACTCTACCCGACCCCACGGAGAACAATTGGCCCTTCACAACATGGTGCCCTCCTGTATGCGTGCTATAGAGCCGGAATGTGTGGTCATAACACAACACAATAGAGAATACTGGGAATATTAAAATCATAGTGTGATCAGTGTAACTAAGCCAGTGGAGATTTGACACAGTGCAACTCTAAAGACGTCACTGCCTTAGCTTTAAGCACACGCTTTTTGGTCACCTTGAGATAAGTATTTAACATTTTCTAATTTAAAACAACGTCTATGTTTGGAAAATACACTTCATAAACTTCACTTTTGTCATGTGGAGCTCCCTCTGCTGTCAGGGAATGAA